AAGGTCAAAGGTCAGTGCTGTAAATATAGGCTACATTTTATATCTGTTAATATCTCCATTAAAGATGAGATGGTTATTATTCTGGGTTATTAATATGAAGGTTATAATGAGGATAAATGTTACTGAAATATAATTTATAATAATAAAGAAAATGATGTAATAAATAATGGCAAGACTATTCACAACAGAAGTTATGAAATAAAAGTAAATTTCTGGGTTTTATTTAAAATTATTAACTATTTAAACTACCAGCTTCCATCCTTTCATCCATCTGTTGTTCCTACCAACTTATCCATTCAGGATGACACTGAGGTTTTGGTTCCTAGAACCACTGGGTGAGGAGGGTTCAGCATAAACTGGTCACCAGTTCATCACAGGACAGGTGGAGCCAGAATAATCTGTATAAAATGACTAAACTTTAATGTTTCAGTTTAGTTTCTTATCAAAGGGATAAAATTATAAACATATAGAAACAATTATTTATGTCTGGATTTATTTCAGTAACTTGTTATAAAACAGTAACTTCTCTTTAATCATATTCTAACTTTCTCCTCTCCTCCATCCAGCTGGTCCTGACTCTCTCATCATATCCATAGACTTTGGTTCAGGATTCAGTGGCTACGCCTTCAATGTTAAACCCAGACAGGAAGGAGGAGAGACCCAGATAAAGAGATGGAGTGATGGACTTGGACTAGACACCCCAAAGACTCCAACCTGCATCCTGTTTGATGAACATGGAGAATTTATGAAGTTTGGTTATGAAGCTAAAACAGCATTTAATAATATGAGAGGAGGAGAAGCTGAGAAACATTATTTCTTTGAAGACATCAAGAGGTGGATCCGTTTCATAGTAAGTAAAAGTAAAGAACTACAGAAAAATCTTCTTCTTTCTTGGATCCTATCATGTTTTCTATGAACACACCAGCCTTCTCATTTTGAAACTGTCACTATTTGAATTATCTAACATTTTAAATCTGTCATGTAGATAGTGTTAAGGAAATAAATAAGTCTCACCTAAGGTGAAACCCTGAGTCAATCAAGAATGAATCAAAATGCTTGTTGATTATTATTTTATCAAGAAATGAACCAAAGAATAGGAGCAATGACTCCCCTCACTAGTCCAGGGAAGAGAAAAAAGATGAAAGTTCATCACTTTTAATATCCACCAGCCTCTAACAGAGATGGGAGAAAAAGAGAGAATCCCAGAGATGTGAAGTTTTAGTTCTTTCACATCTCTGATATTTGGACCTGCAGACTGAGACCTGATGGTTCAAACCCAGATCAGAAATATAGATAGATAGATAGATAGATAGATAGATAGATAGATAGATAGATAGATAGATAGATATATAGATAGATAGATAGATAGATAGATAGATAGATAGATAGATAGATAGATAGATAGATAGATAGATAGATAGATAGATAGAAATAAAACAAAGTTTAACATAATAGGTTTTACCACTGGGTCTCTATAAATATAGATATTAATTAATATCTCTTTCATTTCAGTCTAACAGGTTTTGTCTTTTTTCCCACTGCTGATCTTTATTCAACAGTAATCTGACAGGAAGTGGGGAAAGACGAGCAGCAAAGGTAGCGAGGACTCAGACTCATGTTCATATCGAGGTCTTTAACCTGCCTAGGGGGCGCCACTGCGCCAGGTGACGCCATTAGTTTAATAGTTTCTGAACAGAAAAAGCAGAACTTATACCTAAGGTGTCATAAGAAAAAATCCATAGGAATCATACGAAACGTGAACATATGCCCAAAATCCAAAAATGTCCCATGTCAAAAAAAATAATCTTGATTTATAAAAGCATTTGTATCCACACTTCAGAGCAATTTCCCCTTTATGAATCACAGCTGCACCTCCATGTTTCCATAAGGTTCCTCCTCAGGTTCTGCTCTCTACTCTCCCATATTCCATCATAAAGGTCAATGCAAATTATCTCATGAATAATAAAGTTTATTAACTGATTCAGACGATTGTGTGAAAATCTGTTCCTCTGTCAGGAGCGTCACTGCAGTCAGAGAAGCAGATCCAACCATTTTCACAGCTTCTGACTGATTTCTTGATAAAATAACTCATATAATCATGTCAACATTGTGACTTTCACTTTTATTGGCAGCTGCTGTTAAAAAACAACAAAAACAAAATAGTAAAATAAATAAATGAGGTTTTCTTACACAGTTTTGTGTTGTTTTTGAATCTCCAAGAGAATCTGTCTTTTCCCAACTTTAACTTTCCCAACAAATAAAAGTCAGTCACAAATTATTTAAATTAAAATTGAACTGTAATTTTAATTTACAACAGTTAAAATTAATTAAGCACAGAATCTACATCTGATTAGTTTAACCAGTAAAATCTGTTATTTCATCTTTAAATCAAACTATTGTTCAGCTCATTAAAGGAATAAGTTTCTGCTTGAACTGACTTTAAGACTGCAGCAGTTCATCATGAGTAGATTTGATAAACTGTCCTGGGATGAACACAAACTAACAGACTGAAACCTGTTGACAGGACGACTGGTCAGAGAGAATCAGAGCAGCCAACAGGAAGTTGATGTCGACCCAGAAGGTTTTTACAGAAGTTCTGAGGTTCCTGAAGGACGATGCTCTGAAAACCATCAAAGATCCAGAAGGAGGAGAGTTCACAGCATCTGACTTCACCTGGGTGCTGACTGTTCCTAAAAGCTTGACGGATTTTCGTAAACAGTTCATAATAGAATCTGCAGTTCAGGTAACATCATGTTTTTAGAGTCATCATCTCTAAATGTTCATCAGAATCAGACTTCTGGTTTCTCCTCCAGGCTGGTCTTGTAACAGACGCCACTAAAGACAAACTGATGGTTGTTCTGGACTCAGAAGCAGCTTTGACCTGGTGTTTGAAGCTTCAACCTGATGGTTTCATCACACAGAACCACAGTAGAGACTCACAGGATCAACCTGCAGGAGCAGCAGAACCTGATACCAGCTGGAACGGTACTGAGTGGATCTGTAACGTCTGGCAGACAAACATTAACAGGTTTTAGTCTGTTTGTAGGATATGTGTGATATATGAATGGATTCTCTAGATGATCTGTTTTCACATTGAAACAAGTCATATAAAAGTATTTATTACATTTTTGTTCCTAAATATTTCACCTGATCTTTAAAGCCAATCTGAGAAATGTCTCATTTCCTCTTCAATCTAATAACTGATTTTTTCAATCTTGACCCAGAATCTGGGAAAAATATCTTTTAAATCACT